TCATGTTGAAAGAAGTTACGAAGTATGAAGCCAAACAATTTCCTCGTTTCGAATGCTTTGTTTGAGATATGTTCAGAGAAGTTAGAACTGTGTGAATAATATGCCCCTAAATCAGTTACTAATGCGAGTTTGGTCAGTATGTTCTTATTAAGAATTAGTTTTATTTTAGGTCTTACGAAACTAATTTGAGTGAGACAACGATATCAAAACAGAACTTAAGATAACAAGTGAGAACTTTAACGGTGTTTCCAAATAAGTCATTTGTAAACAGGTTTTGGTTCTCATGACGAAACTTGTTTGGACATCATCTGAGTAGTTCCTGTATTCAACTTTATTATTATTATTATTATTATTATTATTATTATTATTATTCACAAACACCTTATGGGTACATAAGTGTTGTGAATAAACCATTTCGGGTTTCTTCAAAAAATGCAATAATACACAATTTTCATTAATGTCAGCATTATACTTGCCATATTAAAAAAAACATTTAGAGCAATAATAGTAGAATATTAATAATAATAAATCGGGTCTGTGTAACTGAGAAGAATATTGAATCGAGTTTAAAGAAGGAAATTGAGAAAATAAGGGAATAGAAATAAAGGAGACGTGAAATACGCAAACAGTCTAATAGGTGTGTTTATGAACACAGAACAAGTATAAACGACTATGTGTGTATCGTTAAATTAGTAACAAAAGTAATTAAGAAAAAATAACATAATTGCAGTAAGATATGACGCTAGAATAAATGTTTGTGCAGTTATAGTTTGGAGTGATGCAATGAAAGTCTCAATTATTAAGTGAAAAGGATAACCAAATATCAATGTGTATGAGTCATATATGCATAGTGAAGATAAAACGAGTCTGTGAAGTTAATTTAAGTGTAACACAAGTTATTGTCTTAATCACAAACTTCGTAATCTTAAGAATAATATTTATTTAGAGGGGAAAACGAGAGAGAGAGAAAAGAAGTAGACACCTAGTGAAAAGGTTAATCCATATTAAGAATAATAATTGTGTAATGAATACCGACTTCAGAAGTAAACCAGCAATCGAGAAAAATAAAATAAAAATCCTTTAGTGCACTCGGATGAATACATTTAGATTTATGTAATAGTATACAGAGTGAAACCGGATAATTATATAAATATTTGTGCAACAATAATAAAGAATGATGCTATGAAAGTCAAAATCGACTTCAAAGGACAATCTGGCTGCTTTCCAGTCTTGTTTCGCAATAAGTGAGTTGGTTGGGATAAATGCTAATTCCGAACCCCATGTTGACTGAGAGTTATTATAATAAAGATTTATCCCCAAATAGTAGTCTGTTACATGATGCGCGACAGTTTACAGGCAAGATGAAATTGTTACAGTAGATACAGTCTTCACTTTGGCGGGTAACTCAGTTAGTTTGATAGTTTTTAAAGTACATTTATCATAAAAGTATGGAGGATAACACTTCTGACATATGATTGCAAATAATATTAGTAACATCCGCATTGTCAATATGACAGTTGGTACGCTTTGTGGAGGCTGTGTTGCGACGTACAACTGATAGTCGGGAGTAAGTTCACGTAAATTTGAGACCTTCTATAAACCGTGACCACATATCCCTCTGGAACATCTGAGGCATTAATGATGGCGCGAAACAAAGTCAACCGTTCCGTATGCATTATCGGTGGCATATCTTGAGAGGGCTTAAAAAAGGTAAGAAAAAGAAAGGACGAGATGCAAAACATACACATGCATATTGAAATTGTGTCATTTGAGGTGAAATAGGGAAGGTATGACTATTTAGTCAAATTTTCTATTATTAAGGTAGGTTAAAAAGGACAAGCGTAAATATGGTATGAGTAGACAAAAAACTGTAAGAATGAAGGTGGTTCAAAAAGAAGCTGAAGGTATAGGATTATGTGAAGTTTTAAAATATAGTACTGAAAACAGTATTCTGATACATAGATATCTGTCTAAATTTGTTTCGAAGTTATTTCAGCTCATTTTTATCTTTGTAGATTTTATAGGGATATGAGAACGTTTCGTCATTAGCGAATTGTATAGTTTTCCTTGTAATATTATTATTAATAGGAGTACTCGGTGAGAAGTGAAACCATTTCGACCTCATGTGCGGCTTATTAACTTAAACCGAATTTTTAAAGTAACTTATCCCCTAGACAGGTTAGACTGACAGGCTTGTGATTAAAGACGATCCGTCTCTTTCCATACACAAATAAAGGGCCAACTATAACGTCCTTTCAATTCCTAGGGAAATGAGTGTGGGAAAGACATGTTGAACATCATGGTAAACGACACTGAAATAGCGTCGGTGTGTAGTTATGAGAAGTGTTGCAAACAATACCCTCATTGCAGACTGCGATGAAATGGTTTGAATAAAGTCTCAGCCTTGACGAAATCTAATCCAGCTAATATATCTGAATTTCCGCTCAACAATAGTTGATGAATTACATCACTGCGTTTTGTTCTTCGTTGAATGTGCGAAAACCATTGTCTTTGAAAATTGAAAATTTCTGATAGTAATCGTTTCATAAGTGGCCGAAGTATAATTATGGTCTTTTGATATATATTCCGAATTTTTCAGATGGTAATCAAATGGTTCTTGGCATGTTAACAGGAACAATTCTCAAAAGTGTTTCCCACGCCTCAACATCTTTCGTGTTTGCTTATCTATCCATAAAGAGCAATAGCCTACTTGTTGACCATATGATGAACGGCAATGTTACGGACCTGAATATAGCTCTAAACCCATTTCATTCGTCTTCGATCAGTCCATCTATATTGACCGACCAATCTTTTGTAGTAGTTCATCTCCTAGTCAAATATATGTCACGGTTTTACTCTTGTGATTTGTTGTATGTTGTAGTTTAAATCACCGTCCTGGTATAACGTATCCGCGACCAGTTAGTCGCTATTGGGCAATTAGTAAAATGAGGGATCTTCATCAATACACAGTTGATCCACCCCCATTGGTACGAACAGGAGGACGAGGACCTGACGGTAAAATTCAACTAAAACACGTTACAACTAGATTAAATCGTCCATGGTTTATGGTAGATTACAATCGTTCCAGACAAAGTTTAACTAAAACTATCCATGAATAATTAGTTTTACAGGTCAAAAAAACATGGTGGAGACATGCGTTTATTGCTTTAGTAGCATCAGGTGAAATGAAAAGATGGATTATTGCAACTGCTAGTATGAAACCTGGAGATATTATACGTTCACATGTAGATATCCCTACTATTCCAGTTGATCCAAAAGAAGGTGATGCTTATCCAGTTGGTGCATTACCAGTTGGCACAATTATCAGTCAATTTGAAATAAAACCTTGTCAAGGTGCTTTATTTTGTCGGACAGCAGGATCTAGTGCAACAATATTTCGACGTGAAAAATATGTTGGTTCAAAATTAAATGAAGAATTAAATTTCACATCTTTAACTGATGAACTAGGAGATGAATATGTTGTATTTGTTAGATATGTCGGTTTTGAGATGCATGCACAGAAGCACACTAAATAATTGTCGGCAGCAGGATGACCCTGAACATATATTTGAAGCTGTAAGCTCTATTCAGTTGATGCGATAAGCGTTGAATCTTTCAAAGGTGAGACAACAATAAGGTTTACTTCAGGAACATATGTGATTTGAGACAAAATCACCAGTGAATCACCGTAAGCAACGGCAAATTTCTTCTATATTCACTAATTCGTGTATAGATTCAACTGTAAGACAAACTACTTCACATGTACCGCTATAGTGCGCATCTGATGTAATCAATTGTATACGGAAGTGGTCTATTACATATAATATTATCCCTCCTACCTTGCAAACTATAACTCCATCACTTCTAATACAGATATATATTATTACAAATAGAGAATAGCCTACAGTCACACGAGCCACGTTTTCTTGACAACAACTATATCAGGACCTTATTCGCCAACCATCATACTTAGCTCAGAAAACTTATTTTTGAGACTACAATTGTTTGTGTAGCACATTTTACTGCGTGGTTTGGGGATCATTCGTTCTACCCATACAGGGCTCGACATTATTGACTAATACCCCTAGTTCACAGGACTTATTTCTTGGATGACGATTATTTGTACAAAAAAATCGCCTCAGATACGTTGGATGCTCATTCACATATCGTATTACAAAATGAGTATCCATTTATGTACATTTAACATGTTTGCACTAAATACCGAAATCTTTCAAAATTTTCAAACCTTATCAGATAAGAGACCATTATTTTCTCGGACGACAATGAGCTGTCTAAAAACGCTTTACTCCCTCAACCCAAAGAACCAGCTAGTGATAATTTTCTAAACTTCTGACACATTATCGAGAGCACATAAAAACTCTGTCAGGCGAAACTGGTGTTCATGTATTCCGTTAAAGGACTCAGCTCAAACGGTTTTTAGTCGTAAATATTTGATCAGAATGGAGTATTATGAGTCCTGAAAATGTTGTAGAATTAGGTCAGTAAGTTGGAAATAACCCCAAGAAGATTCATAAAGTTTTTGACTCATTGTTTCATAACGCAACGTAAGTTAATTAAACATGGTAAAAAATGCAGTGTTGGGCACCTTCTCAAGACATAATACCTAGGTAACATTTAAACATCTGACAGACCTTCGGGTATTAGTAATTTAGAAGAGAAAGCAATATAGGCTGAACGTGAAACGGAAATGGGGTTTTAGGCCGACAGGTTTTGGACGTATGAATGTCTCGACTGCTTTTATTCATATACATTCAACTAGTTATCTACACAATCGCTGACGTCAAGCTGTGACCGACTATTGAATTATTGAAGTTTATCGGGGTTATTCACCATTAGAATGTTAATAATGAATAAATTAACAACCACAGTTTTCAAGCATATTTTTTGTATATGCAAAATGAGATCTGTGAACCGATTTTTAGAGTGTATTGTTCACATAAATCACTCACACATTTACTCATATTATATTGTGTCGGTTTGTTATAATGCGCTAGCCATATTTGTACTCTCGATCCAAGACTGGTGCGGCGTTTTATATGATGTACGTTTTATGTTTTCGAATCCAAAATCATTCTGTTTCATTTACGATTACTCGACTTTTTAGTTGTTGTTTTAAACCTATTTCTGTCTTTTGTCTGTTACAGTAGTGATACTTTTTTATTCGTTTTAGATTCATTGAACTGTTAGAGCTGAAATCACACAACTTTGTAATTTGTGTTACGACAAAATTATCACCAGGCAGACCGAAGCTCATTTGAGGCCCAAAATTACATTCGATGAAAGATGAATCCCGCAAACTTGCTATCAGCCGCAAAGTCTGGAACCACTAGCAGTATATTGGATTTTCTACGGAAACCTGTCAGCATTCTGAGGCTTGTCTCAATCGTAAGCACTTTATTTTACTCGAACGCGTTTAATAACAGTTGAATGCAGTTGATATTTTAAAATACATTTTCACATCTCATAATTACTATATTACTGTCAGCACTAAAACTTAATATCAGTAATGTTTTTGAGTCTCGCAAGCGAATCCGTTGGTGCCTTTACGAAAGCCCTTCACATACGGAACTTGCAAAAAAAAACAATTGTGAAAGTGGTAGTGGTTTAATGGGGGACTATATTTGATAGTAGCTAGGGTTGGGTTGACGTCATAATAAAGAGCCGAACTTCTAGAGAAAAAACAATCACGTCCTTATTGGAATGTTTCAGAACACGGTCTCGAATTTTGATCGCGCACATCCAGATTTCAGTTCTCGTTAAAACGAGAGATTTTTGTCATTGTTGAGTATCTTCTAAGCTATTTTTATTCGGATGTTGATAAATGCTACACTTTTAATTAACGTTGATTTCATGAACCTTATTAGTAATGCTGGAAATGATAACTTCACAGAAACACAGATTTCAACAAGCGAGTAGCTTGCTTCTTAGCGTTTTTTCCTTCAATATTTCTTTGGATAATGTCAAGTTCTTACTTCAACACTTGTCGATTCAAGTGATTAGTCATTTATTACCTTTCTCAGTATTGAATAACGTAAACTTAGGTTGTATGGATACGGTTCCTTTATCGGCACATCAGAAGTCAATAATGGAAATTAAATTCATCATATGTTCCACGCGGTGTTCTCATTTCATACCTAAAATACAATCCAATATTTGGGGGTGTAAGTTTGCTTGGAATTTAGCACATTTTAATTATTTTGCTTTTCGTAGTACTCTGACTAACCTGTACTTATGAAGGTGAAGAAAATCTACGTCTTTATTATTTATTAAGAATCAAGAATGTCAGTTGTTGTACTTGATCTTTAACTAGCTTGCTATATACATTATCTCCCCTTTAGTGTGTTTGAATAATCCGATTTCGGAAATTGATTTAATTGATAACCTCTTCAGTTTTAATTTAAATTGATTGCCATAAAATTACTGCCGTTTTCATTCCATTTGGTAGTAGGTCGTGTGTAGTTGATCCAGTTTTGAGAGAAACGGATTCTCTATTGTTGTATGCAACTTCATATTGTTTGTAGAAAAACATTTATGTACCATATAATGTACTCGAGCGTTAGACGATTGACGTTCAAGTCACAATGTCAGTATTTACTTGCATGTTAAACATTTCTCACCAACAGCTACATTTATGAATTTTCATTTCAGCTAGTGTCTGTGATAGTCTTTGGTTCTATATCATCAGGTTGTCATACGCATCAAGGTATTTGCATTTTTGGCACAACGTCTAGTGCTTGTAATCTCCCCGTTGCAATCGGCGTCTTTGCCTTTCTTGGAGAAATTCTTTTTCTCATTAGCGATTTTATGTTTGATTCAATTTCCAACATTAAAAGACGGAAACATATTATAATTGGTGATTTGGGTTTCTCAGGTACGTCCTCTGGGCAAAATTAAATTTAAAAATTATTTTAAACGTTCATATAAAATATAATATTCCTTTCTTGGATGTATGTACCTGGTTGATGACTAAATTAAGAAAGACAGAGATTTTAAAAGGGGAATATTTTTTAAAATAATAAATGAAAGGCTTGAAATCATATTTTCCTACTAAATGACAGCTACGTACCCACAACAGATATAAGTAGTTATTGATTAACCTGACTTGTTCTGATAAAAGATGATGCTGGATACCAGTTCTGTGAAACACTTTTACCCCATATGATATCCAAAATCCTTATTATTAGCTTGTATAATCCATTTGATTTTGCTCTCACTTCTTTTTGTTTCAGTACGGTCCCAGGTATTTTGTTATGTATAATGGGTGGTAGTTTAGCCACTTGACTGCACTAATTATAACCAATTTGACTAATCTTGACTAGTACAAAAAATTATCATTAGAATGCGTGTTTTTGGAAGTTGTGGTGACTTTTTAATAGTTTAATTCATACTACAAGCCACTATTCTAATAATAATCATCATGTGCTCACTGGTGACTGGCTTTAAGATGAATTTCCTGGAGTTCTAATAAGAAGCCGTGACTAGTGAAGTCTGATCCGTGTCGAGTAGAGACAATTATCTACCTCAGACAATAGATGAATGGTTGCGCAAGATCACGGATTGATTAAAGTTAGACATAAACGCCGTTAAATGCCGGCTCAGTGGTCTAGTGGTTAAGCGTTTCCGCGTGGAACTGAAGGATCTTGGTCCGAGTCCCACATACTGGATGGTAAGTCTACACTTCTGAGTCCCATACCAGGGCGGAAAGCCAGTCCAGTGCTCCTAGGTTTCCAATGGTGGTGTAGCTTAAATCGACTGATGAATTCAACTAATATTAAAGAAATGCTTATGTAATCAGTCTAGAGTTTTAGAAAGTTTGAAGTATTGTAATTCTAACGACCCTTCATCTTATAAGTATAACTGATTGGATAGTAAATCTACACAAGTCCTGCAGTTGTATGTTTATAAAGTGTTTTATGCGTAATAATATAGGTAGTTTGAGATACTTTGGCGTAAATACCAGGTTTATATTTTTGATTCTCATTCGTCTAACAGAGCAATTAGTCAAATTATCATCCAGTTATGCGTGTAAATGGTTATTATTATTATCAGTGGAAGTAGTATTATTAGTATTATTATTATTAGATTCACTCTGAAAGTAAAATTTAGACATAAAACTCGTTCGGTGATTAGTAAATAGAAATTACTCTGCGGACAGTATTAGTTCAAGTGGATCTTCATATTATTACTAAAGAAACTTGAAGTGACCATCTTGATGTTTTAAACATTTCAATCTTCATCAAGGTGAATTCAGTACCATCATCTTTACTAGGTTTTTCCAATACAAAAGAAATTCTGCGACAAATGTACTAAACCATTTAACATTCTTGAAGTAATCAAAAAAGTTACTTGCTAAGGGTTATTTATAAACTAAAAGATATAAAAATCAACTCTAAAATTATCGAGTAAAGACAACAAGTCATACTTTATTCATTTATTTGGATGAAAACTATGTGCTAGGTACAAGCTAGTAAACTAAAGTTGTTCAACGAGATTAATTGTTTTAAATCAGAATCTCCAATCCATATGCATAGAGTAACATGTATATTGTGGAAAACTTAAAGCAAAGAATATTAGTAACTCTTGAAAATCTTAAGGTAATCAATCATGACATATTATTAAAGACAACTATGATCGAATACCTCTAAAAGGAATTTTCACTTGTCACTGACCTTTATAGATGTCTTTTAAATCAACGTAGAATCCCAACCTTCAGCTAAACAATGTGAGAAAACATAGCAAAAAGTGGCAAAGTATATTAATTAATGTATATCTCATTCGATTATACTAATGGGTACCTAAATTCGTGTAATACTGTTGTCATAACTTTTAAATCACTTAGCAAATGAATATGTGACCAAATTATTTTAAACTTGATATCCGAATATTAATTAAATCTTGCATGAATAATGTGAGCTGAAAAATCCATACTGGGTCCCTGTATTGACGCTGAGAATCTATCATTAACTACGTCAAAAATTTACTCCACAGCTTATATAGATCACTGTTATTTACGCTAGAATCTTTCTATTCCAGTCATACCATGTACAAACACCAGTCAAGCTTTAGGTAATAAGTTGTTTTTGATGCTTCTCTGATTGGTACTGATAATTTGCACGATTTGATCAGGTTTTCAGAAATGCTATTCTCTTGATTAGGTACTGAGATTTATTAGATCATGTTCCCAAGTTGGAAATGTTGGACTTTCAAAATAACTATTTCCGTAAGATCTCACCAGATTATTGGTTAAAACTCCAATTCAACATTTAAATAACATATTTAACGGAATTACTTTCCATTTTCACTAGAAAACATCGGGACAGAAATGTTCTAGCAATAAGTAAAATAACGTAGTTAAATAGAACAACACGCTACGAGAGGGTAACGATATCTGTAAATTTAAACCTACAAGGAAATGGAAATTCGATCATCGGATGCATAAATTTTTAATTATCGTTTTTTGCAGTAAAGTTTTGATTGTAAAATTTTAGGATCTACGTTATTCAGTCTTATTTCCTTTTGCGAACCACGAAATATTGCTTTCTTTTACAAATCAGGTTAATCAACAGCTCCAGAAAATTAGATAGGACTGAATTTCCATAATTAATTTCAATTTTATTGAGGAGGCTTTAAGTGTTGGTTTATTTCCTGCAGGAGTAGTTTATAACAAATAACAGTCCACTGTTTATTGTTACACGTTGTTCACAGACTTAGAACTCAACATCAACAAGCAAATATTTCAACGTGAAGCGTAATGAGGGGCTTACACAAACTCTACGCTGGAAAATTTTTTTCCTCAAGAAATGTGAATATATGATGACTGCTATTATTCTTTCATACTTTTATTTATCTGTCCTTAATTCTATGTTTGCTAAATAATGTCAAAGTTTATATAATGATGACATTCATGTAGATGTACATTCATCAGATAGTTTTAAATAGATATCTCATAATTTACTGGTTTTATTTAATCATAGTCAAAATTTACCAAATGCCTATACTTATACATGAAGATCAGGTTCAATATTAAGATCATTCTACAAACTATCTAAGTTGTCTGATTGAAAAGTACAAATTGTTTGGCTGAAGAAACTTTTCTTTTAATGGAATCAATATCATTTACTGAGTAGTCATGATATTTGTCTCTTTAGTTATGCAAAGGATTTTTCTTCCTCGTTTTACATTTAAATTATCTTTCGATAGTGTAACAAGAATACGAAGATTATCAGAACTATCGGGATTTATCAAAGGAACTCAATGCTTTAAATTTTTATCACTTTTTCCCCTTGCTTCATTTAATATCACATTTATTAGTAATATTTTTCGTAAAGACAAATAATATACATTTCGAATAAATAGGTTTGTGGACATTTCTATGGTTTGTGAGCTTTTGTCTACTTGCTAACAAATGGACAAACACTTCTGATGAATGGCTTGGACAACACAAAGTAGAAGGATGGCAGGAAAGTAATGCTCGTTCAGCGATAGTCTTCTCCTTCTTGTCCATTGCAATTTGGGTAGGTTTTATCTATTTATTCATCAAGTTGATTTTAATTTAAGGTTACTTTTTAGGGATATTCAAACAGCTATTTAGTTGAATGAGTCATAGTACACTTTACTACTTGTTAAACTCAAAACTGTTCTCGAGGTTGTTGTTTGCAAACCCGCATAATTTTAGTCAATTGTTATATTTCATAGTTTACATCACAGATTGATCTTGGTTAGATAACCATTGAAAACCAAGCAGCACTAAACATGTTTTGTCTTAGTATAGGATACCTCAGCAGTTCACATTTAAGACCACACCAGTGGGCGTTTCCTTGAATTTCGGGTCTTGTAACAAGCGCTTAACCATTGGATGCTGACTCAGTCGTTTAAATGTTAAACCTACGCCATGAGAATTGAAGGTTCTGAAACTTGATAGAGTGTAGAATAAGGACTCCTGAAGTATGCCATTCTACGAAAAAACAACTGTCCTTATTTTTCAATGGTTATCTAAAAATGATCAATCCATGATATAAAATATGAAATTTTATGATCTCCACCCACCCAATGTGATAATTTCCCGCAATATGTTTACTTTTATTCACCTATTAATAATGATAGAAATAGTAGTTTAATATTAAAAGAAAATATTCTCAATGAGATGCATGGAAATCAAACATTTTGTTCCGTTTTAATTACTAGAGAATTTACTGACGAAGAACCAGTTTCTAAATACGAACAGAATAGTTCTTATTAACGTTTAACATTTTAAGATTATCAATCATGAACTTGCTTCTACTTTGACTGATATGTTCATTCTATAGGAAATAGTCGGAAAACATTTTTAAAAAAGGAAATTTATAACAAAGATTTTTAGAATATAAGAGCTTTAATTGGTATTGATTAAAAATATGTCTAATTCTTATCATCAAAACAAAATTACACATATCCAAGAACACTAGACTAGAAAGTGTTGAACGCATGATTTTATTAATAAACAATCAATGAGATATAGAAGCATGGGGATTAAATTAAACATACTGAAACAAATTTAAACAATTGAGTGCTACAACCCAACTTTACAGTCTAATTGTATGGTTTATGAATAACTTTTTCATAATAGAATCATTTTTAGAAATGAACAACCGGATATTATAGAGTGAAATCCTTGTTCTGTCTGTTAACAATATCATTTTGATTTTATAGTCTAATCAATTGCAAGTTTCAATTTACCACCGAACACCAATTTCGATTGACTTACGTGATTGTTTATTAGAATATTCTCATTGTACAGTAGTTAAATAATTTTTATTTGACAAGAAATAGAGGAAATCTAACTAAGAGAATCTTACTCAATGAATTTATTTGGTTGTTTATTATTTGTCGATTTTAATTTCATTTGAATTAAGGGTGGAATCACATTTTTCGCATTGCAACGATTTCGAATAGGCCAAGCTGGTCTCACTCCAGAAGAAGGACTAGGTGAACCTGGTTCAACTATGGATCCAAATACTGGTGTTCCAGGTCAGCCATATCCTGGTATGATGTCTGACCCGATGAGCCAGCAGCAGCAACAACCTTATGGTGGAAATATTCAACAGCCACCTGTAGGTGGTGTCGGCGGTCAATATTACGGACCAACCTATTAACAAACTAAAGGGAGTCCTAATCTAGAAGTTTAACAGCAATGATACTATTATCTGATCTCATTTGATTTTATGGTTTTAAGTTGAAACGTGGTTGAATCTTGACTTCTTATGTGTAGTTGATGTCGTTATTGTTATTTATCATTCCATTGGTTATTATTATTCTGAGTTCTTTTTATACCATTGACTTGATTTCATTTTTTATTTATATATTGCTCTACTTCTTTTATGACTGAAAATGGGGTCAGGGATGGGAGGGCGCGAGTCAAACAATCGCAGAGACAAATCCATATCGTTAGTTTAAACTGTTTCTCCTCCGTTCTGTCAGACATTCCATTAAACCGTGATACATTTTCTTGTGAATTTATATTTAAAGCATTTTTCAAACATATATATATATATATATATATATATATATATATATATATATATATATATATATATATATATACTTACATTTCTTGTTTCAGTGATGTTGTCCTCTTTATGTTCAGTTGCTTTTAGTCGTATTTAGCATAATATTTGAATATATAAACAAATATGCATAAAAAATGTATATCACCAACAGAAAATAAACAAGACTTCTATTAAATTTTATGCTTTCTATCTACAATAATGGCGAGAAACATGTTGGTTCCAGTGATTGTTAACTGGAGTTATTGATTATATATATATACATATATTCAAACCAGCAATGTTGACTATCCAGTAGCTTCTTGAGCTTCATATTGCAAACCAAATATTTATATCGTCAGTCCAGTAGTTTAGTATTTAACAGTGCGAGTTAATTCATCACTTCATCATCCTTTCTGCATAACTGGGCAAAGGAAGAATTGACTGAAGATTTTTAGAAACTCGTGAAATGAACTTGAAAACTAAAACCAACTTATAGCTAATCGAAATGCAGGTGGTATAATTAAGTAGTTAGTTATGTAAAATCCCTCAGAAACGCAAGAATTTAAGGTCAGAAGTTAGGGTTACCAGCTTGGATTGGGAAAGAGAAGTGGTCAGGAATACCATGTAGCCATATGGATGAACAAATATGCATCTAGTTTTGTGGTTGTAGATAACAATCTTTATGTTCCCTCAGAAGAATCACAAATTATTGTCCTAAAACGTCAGTCTTCATAAGTTGTCGATATAAACCATTTTGATGCAGTTTTGTTCTATGAGCTGGTAGACTTGTACCTGAAGTTTGTACTGAACATGTCGTTCAGAACAACGATGAAAGCCCCACGACCAAACCATCCAGCTCAGAGAACAAAACTTTGTCAAAATCATCCACCTGAGCTAAAAATCATCTTCATCATCTCAAAAAACCATTCTAATAACTTTACTTGGTGTTGTTTTACTTGTATCTTCCCTTTGTTATTAAGGACTGCAATTGATCAGTCTTATGTTGGCATATGTGCAGATTGCCTCGATATAGCCTTAAGTCACAAGCTTTTTACGCATCCTAATAACTGATTATTGATCATTTTGATTTAACGTTTAGTAAGGTACAAGTATCCACCACTAGATTTTGAAATCCGTGAGAAAATTTAATAGCCGAAGTCCTTAATCTGATTGGTTTGTTAGTAAAGTATACTTTCGGAAAATAAATTATTTATTTATTTATTTCAACACATAGATATTGGTACAAAGATGCACCAAATGCATATGCGCCACACAAATCTCATTCGATATGTGTGAGGGCTATGATACTGCCCGGGTGCCCAAACCGTAGCAGGTGGTTTTCTTAGGGAGCTACACCCCAAGCCTTCGATCTGAGGGTCTGATCCACAAGGCAGTGGAGCATCGTAAGGAGATGCAGTCCCATGGAAGCCGGTGACCAACAATTGGTTCATACGCCATTTGTTCCCGCAGGATACTGGAACCCATGTGCACCATTGGTTTGGAATCCGGTTAAAGCGCCGGACATTCGCTTTTCGTCGTCTCGATTTCGTAGACAACAGTAATGCCACGAGAAGGCAGTGAGTAGGACTTCCCTGGCAGAGGCTGTATACGCGTGGCCGTGTGAGAGCATTTCGAGAGGGAGAGCGGACTCTCCCCACTCTCGGCCGTACCAGGGCATTCGGGGGCGGGACATAAATGAACTCAGTAATCGTCCCATTTGTTTAATTATCAATTCACAACAACTAATTATACACATTTATTTGTGTAGAGCCATTATGACAAATTAATTTATTAATGAATCAAGCTGCTAGTCAAGGTTTCAGCCTACGTGTCCTCGTCTGGATCATATGTACAAATTTATGTATACTAATGATTTGTATACCTAAATATTCGGCTCTGCCAATTATAGCATTCTAGTTGTTTCTCAGTTTCTTCACTTATATGGGCAGTTGAGTAAACATATAAGAACCAAAGGTCGTTGATCATAATAGAAAGTTAGTGGTACTATCCTACTATCTAACTTGAATTGGTGTTAGAACATGAAATATATTGGTTTCATGGTTGAGTACTGCAATTATTAAACCATCATCGAGAATTAATACACGGAACTATTTCAAACGTAACCACTTTTTAATTCAAATATTTAAATTTTCATGTAATTTTCTTATAATTCGTAAATATATTGAACGAAAAGCTAACAAGGGTGAAACAAAATGAAATCACTCTATTAACAAAAATAATGCATGTGTATTTTGTAGTTATTTTTCTTTGAAAAGATCAAGAATGATACAAAACTGAAAGTTTGAAATAAAATATCCACAAATCTATCTATAAATATCCCATACAAGTAAACTACCTAATGCTCCACCATTTGCTGGAACAGATGTAATTAGAAAATGAGATTGTTTTGTAAATGTACATGATCGAATTAGTCTGGATTGTTGATCGATATTAGGTCCATGTGGTTGAGTCAGTGTTGTAGAACTCCACTCACCAATTAAACTCCCTTCATTTAAACTACCTAAACTAGATAGATAACCTAAACATTTGATTTTAAGTAGATTATTTTTGAAATGCACGTCAATTAAACGTATTTTACCATCCCATTGACCAACTGCTAACAGACGGCCATCATCACGCCATGCAAAACATGAAATACCAGTAATACAATTATTAAGTGATTTATGAATTTTAGACAATTTAAAATAATTTGTCATTTGAGAATCAAATTCCAATTGTACAAAGGCTATGTTTCCATCGACCGATGTGTCTGTATCAAAACTATCCACACTAGGTCCGCCCAAAACAACGAATTTGACATTTGTTTCCATTCGATTTGCACTTTCCTTACATAATTGCTGTTTAAAAACAGGTTGAATAGAAAGTGTCATAATGGGGATAGTTTGGCCCAAAGGATAATTAAGCACACTTAACACTCGACCATCACCTAGTAAAATTAAGTGCCCAGATTCGAAGCCGGCCAATAGAATAGAATGTATTTGATTTATGGGGTAAGTTTTTTCAATTCCTTTTAATGTCATACACATGCCTAGATTTGTAACATTTTGACAAGAAGTTTGAATAGAATTAATTGACTGCTGACAAATAAATATAAATTGAGGCAATTGGATTATTTCGATAGACGGTTCTTTATTAGATGTTGAAGAATTATTATTATCATCATCATCTGTTTCTTCTTGACACAAATGGGCCAAGAAATAAACATCCGCTGAATTGTTGTTGTTACTACTACTCGTTGTAGTATATGCACGCCACAAATCGGAATTGCAAAATGAGATATCATATGTATGAATTTCACCAAAAACTGTAACACAATACAAAAAGAAAGCAAAACAAAACATATACAGTTTGACAAAGAAAATCATTTTGGGGGGAGGGGGAAGAAATTATGAAAACTCACAACATAACGACAATGTACAAACCTGGTGTGCGATGTTGAGTCACAACAATGAATGACGATAAACACTATAACCAACAGTTAATATTTGAGTATGTAAACAATCAGATCATAATGTTACGTAGGGATTACACTCTATTTATGAAGTAACTAGCAAAAATACTCGATTATTTATCAGAAAGGTAGAGTAACCTGCACATATAATATTCAAAGCCTTTACAAAAAGGGATTATTGCTAATGGTAGAATCTAAAATTCACGTTTCATCCTATTTACGACTGGTCAGTCCGATGTACCTAGATCCCAGTGTGTTGACGTCTACACTGAAACTAGGACTCAGTACTTTTCGTATCAAGGTGATTAATAAACAATCGAATTTCAATCATTTGAGGTTTGCTGAAGCTTTGTCGAACAAACGTCTGAAATTAGATTTATATATTCAAAAAGAAACAACAATGAATTTTTCTTTACTTTAGTATTATTACATGTTTTATTGCATCATTTTTTTATTTCAACTCTTCCTCAATTTTTGATTAAATCATTTTCATTTGTCCTAAATCCATAATTTTAATTCTAATTGACTGAATTCAGAACTAATATTATTCTTTATAACCATTTATCTGGGTTTTTTGTTTAGTTACCTCATTAAGCAACCATCTAAAGTTTCATACACATAGTTCCCTTTATCATTTTGAAAAGAGCAAGAACAAAGATTTTAGCAGAATAGCATAAATTCATTTTATTTCGTAGGTTCTCGTCAGCTTCTTACAACCTGTGATATTTAAAAATCATAATTACATAATGGGTTTAAATTGCTTACATGAGAGGATTTGTTTGGAAGTTAAATTGAAGATATATTCGTCAAATATTCCTATCAATGTTTATTCATTATGTAATCAATTGTTTCTAACCCCCTTTTGAACATCTAAAATTTGTTAAATTTATTTGAATGTTAATCACTATTTTTTGATGTTTCGGAACTTTCTCTCTTATAGTTTTATTTAGCTGAAACGATCTTATTATTAACATTATTGAAATCTTTGAAATATATTCATTTTTAATCACCTTCGTATTTATATGTATGTCAATTTCTATGACAATTTTAAAATATTATATAAGATGTTAGCAACTAATGAGAACCTAATAACACTTTGGGCACACAGATGATAATTCAATTGGTGTCGCCATCTTGAAACACCGACTTCGGTGGCTTGGACATGTCCTACGAATGTCGTTTCAGAGAACTCCACATCGTGCATTATTAGACGACTCTGGGACTGGTTGGAAGAAGCGGAGAGGTGGTCAGTGTATGACATGGTGTCGTGGCATGAAAGAAAGCTGCAAAGGACTGGCTTCTGTTGGTCCTTCACGACTCTCTGGTTGGGGTCTGAGAGATGGTGCAACACAGTGGCTAGAGATGTTATCAGATATGGCTCAGAATAGAAGCCAGTGGCGATCCTGCTGTAACCTTCTTTAACTTTCTTCATAAAAAGTGTTTGTGTCTCCCTTACCTGAAAGATTTCTTCCGTTTGTACCTTTCCGTTTCCTCATTACTACCACACTACCTTACATCAATCTCTTCGTTATTGTTCTTTTTTTTAAGCTCCTTACCTTTTTTTCTTTTCTCTTCGAATTCTCATTGTTTTGTGTGGCGCATATATATTGGCGCTCTCTTGTACAGATATTTATGTGTTCAAATAAATAAATAAATAGTAACATAAAATCATTTCATATTATTTTGTACTAATCTTTATTTTTACTCTCTTCGATACTCAAAATAGTAAATCACAGTCGGATAGCTTCTAATTTTATAAAATGAATTTATTCAAACCAGTTAACCTGAAAGTAGAATAATAGATCTAGTTAAGAAATCATTAACATTATTCATTGAAATATGTATATAGTTTAATGATAGAGAAAAAAACCCCGAAGAAGACAAATAACAGTAAGTGATTTACTCACTTTGATCAAGAGGTTTAAACACTTCAGTCGTATCAAATTGTAAATTGCTTAAATCCCAAAAACGTATAAAGCCATCACGACCATGAGATATTATCACACCATAATTATTATTTCGAGGCCAAAAATGCAAACTTGTAATTTGATATCCATTATGCCCAATCCATTGACGTAAAGGACGATATTTTTTAATTGACCAAATAACTAACCAGCCATTCAAATGACCAGATATTAAATAATTATCAGAGATTGATAAAATATATGTACATGGACCAATAGAATATGAAGTGATAGGATTATTATTTATATTAGAATTTGGTTGTGCAGGTATTAATATATGAATTGGTTCCTAATTATAACAGAGAAATAGGAAATAAATATAAAAGCATTAACGGATATAGTATCAGAATATATTAACAAATTATCTGAGTCTCATACAGTTGTTTCTTTTCGCTTATATAATATTTAGGATAAGATAATGGCTATTAAATTGGAAATAAAGTATAATTTAAGAGAGGATTTAAAAGACAGCAATTGAAAACCTACAGTAATCGAACCATATAAGCTTATATGTTATTCAATTTTTCTAGATTCTGCAGTTCATATCCATAAATGATCTAGGAATAAATGTCTTTTCATAATTAATAGCAGTTAGACATTAATGTTCATTAGGAAATCTTGATCAGCTGACAATTTTCTTTCTTTCTTAACTAATACATAAAGAGGAATATGTCTGACGGATTTTTATTGTATACAATCACCTAAAATGCATCACGTCTGAATTCATTAATATTTTTAAAATCAACTCAGACTTATTAGCTGGTTGGTATAGGCAGGTGCAATTCGGAGGTCAATGACGTCGATGATCATTAGTGGACCGAATGTTGCTTATTCATTCCCTGGATTAGATCCGAATATTTCCAGATGGTTAATCACTAGTGTTTGAGATAGTTGAAGGTATACGAGAGAGAACCTTGAAGATGAAGTCTCAACATAGTGCTTTCGAGTCACTCACGTTAGTAGCGGAATCGCAACTTGACAAATAAAATTAGCTCAACATTTAAAAGGACGAGACAAACATCATATTGATCACTATTCAGTAATTAATCAGTAGTAAATATATTCGTTCAACAGCAAGTCAGTCCCAACTTGAATACCTTACTAGCAAAATCTCAGGATGTAAAGGTGGGTGACTTGGGTTAAAAAAAACTCCATGGATCTTCAGTTACCCTAAGATGGCAAGTACACATTGCCGACGAGTACCGGCTAACAAGAAACCTATATTTACAAGTCCTCTTACAATTACCTCCAGCCGCTTAACATGGTCTCTGTCTATCTCAAGCTATCATTGGATCGAAGAGGGATTTTGTTGTCAAAATCATGGATGAATCGAAGTCCACGAGTTAACCTTCAGGTTGATCCGAGACATGTGAACTACAAATGTTTAAAAGGATACGTTGAGTAAACCCGTTATATAACTTTTGTTTTCAAAATACGTTTGCTGGACACTAGTAATTTGATGTTTTCAGTATATAAACATTTCAAAACATGTAGTGAGATTTTTAAAATAGAAGAGTATGAAGGAATGATTAATAAGACTCTCTATGAATAGCCCATATAGCGGAGTTCCACTATAATGGGGCAGTTATTAACTAATTCTAAAATGGTTGAGAAATATCGAGAATTGATTGAACTTAAACAAATAAATCATTGGATAACAACCCAATATTTTAAAGATTAAGTACTTGCCGAGAGATGTTAAAGCCACAGGTTCGATCCATAGTGTGGTTATGGACACATCCATACTAGAGCAAAAGATACCCGTTCAGCACTCCTTTGTTCTTGGTTGTTGTGCAACTAAGGCTAGTTTGTGATTTTAACTATGAAATTAAACAATCTCCAGAAATCCCTGATAATAATAGCCATTTGTATCTATTACCTAATGCGTTGTAACAAGTTACTGAATATTAACACTAATGAAAATCATTTACTGAACGGTGGTTATCGATTTTAAATGTAAACTATCTATCGTAATTAAAAAGTTGAGAATTTTGAATTGTTCACCGAACGGGAAAAAAGCTCGTTATTTCAACTTAAAATTTGTCAAAACAAACACGTACACACGAGAGCAGAAAAAAATAGATTAAAAGTGTTTATTTCAAAGTGGAAAAACAATACCCCTCAGTAAAACTTCAGGTGAAATGTCATATTTTTTAACTCTCCAATTTATTATTTAGATATATAGTAAACCATAATATAATTTGCTATCTCCAATGGAAACTGCAACTTATCAACAAAATTCATTCAATATTAATAATAATCTATACAAGATATATGGCAAAATAGAGATGAAGGTGAGTATATGCTAACAAGTCAGATTACTAAAAGATTAGTAAGTATTAAGTTTCATATAGGTGTTATAGAGAAGCAATAACAATTGTAGTAAATTACGAGCCAATTTTTAATAAATAAACAAATTCAACATGTGAAGAAAACAATCCTGTCTTGATGTTTAATAACTGTTATATCTGGCATTCTTCAGTTCGTTTAGTATGTCAGTGTTACATGTAAGAGTCTAAATTTCACTTTAGACTTCATTTTAATAATTTATAGCTATCTATGTATGTCTTATATGAACAGATTACTGAAGCACATCCCAACTTATCAGATGAATAAAGCAAATACAGTGCACACATTTTGAACATTAAGAGGAAGGTGCGCTGCAAATTCATGGAAACATGTCATATACCAATTCCACTGATAATGTCAAATTAAAGAAAGAATCAAGACGTACGTTGATGAAATATGTTTGAGATGTTTAATTTATGTAAGTGTTTACTAGTAAAATAAATCAAAGCATGACACTCTTCCTTTTATCGCGAACACAAGGTATTACCCTACGAAACACATCTAATGATTTCGGATTTGTTTTTGGTACATGCTCTGTAAAAATACGGATATTTCACTGTATAAATAAATGGCATGCGAAGTGGGAAACTTAAAACCGGGATTTCGCATTACTCCTGAAACATTCAAATATTTTCGAAATATTTACATCTTTTCGGTGTTTTTCGTTAGCAATACTGTGTAAGATGCATTCCATAACGTAAACAAAAACACATTTAACATAATGAGCTAATATATATAATTTCGGTGGAAGCATTCAAGCCAATATGTATCATGATTTCGGAAAGAAATGATCGAAAATAAAACAAATAAAAAACGAAATATAATGTCAATATATGCTGCATAAACAAATTTGGAGCATGCAATTTCACAGCCCGCTAAGTGCTAATTTTTTTTATTGTGGTAACCAGAACACTTTCCCAAAACACACAGCAACTAAGCTGTCATGGTAACTTATAGGATCGACAAAGAATGAATTGTCTAAGGCATTATGGTTGGAAAAACCTAATTATATGACGGACGTAATATTATCACCATCAAGATGACATAGTTTGTATAAACAAAATAAGAGATTGATATTACAGTAAACTATTTAACCTAAAAACACAAGTGAAATTATCAACAGAATCGTTAAACAAAGCAAGAATGTATGATAGCCTTCAACAGGATTAGTACGTTACTGAGTTCACTGATAAGCAGTTCACTTTAGATCAATAAGATAAATGGTATATACTTAAACAATAACACACATGGCCACTACCTACGAGTGAATAGCCTAACATCTATTGGTCCATGTAGCTCCTTCTATCATAAGTAGTTAATTAGAACACGAAAGGAGGCAACTAGCCCATTTGTTTCCTCGTACTATGACTTAAAAAATCTTATGAAAAACTGAATCAATTATAAAATCAAAACGCATCATAAATAGGAGATCACAGATCTACATCATTTACGATTTTTTAAAAAAAGCTAGGTGACAGGTGCTTAGTTAATTGCTAACGACAACTTATGAACGGTAGAATAACTAGAAACAGTTAATGACTTAAATGAAAGCTCATGAACAAACAATGATTATTTACACATATCTAAAACCATATCATAAAAGTAAAAAAACAAACATAGATTCTTAAGAATGACTCCGTAATCGGTTTGTTTTGTCTTCCTCTAACAAGATAAATTTACAAGTGACTGACTGAATAATCAATGATACAATATGTTATTCATTTGGCGAACAAAGTATTGCCCAGTCTTGTAATTTTGTGAAATTAAACGATCTCTCTTGAATATTAGGTAAAATATTTTAAAAAATAATCAAAGGTAATTATATAACAGTAATAATACAGCAATACAACAAAATAAAATAAAATAAAACTATAATTTCAAAATATAATGAATAATTTTATTTGAAATGATTATTAAGAAAACAAGATGAGAGAAAGTACATGTTTAAAAAAATATCCTAATTATTTGATCAAAGAGAATAAAGAAAAACAAAACAAAACAAAGAATATAACACAGAATTACTATTAGTATTATTATTATGAACTAATCAACCACGTGTAGATTTATCTACTTGAGTATCAACTACACTCTAAGTATGAGGCTGACCAAAATGAAGTACTTGGAGTAAGGTTCGAATCCGTGACAAGATGAATCTCTTAACCATTGAGTCACTACTCCAAATTATAACTGGATCAGTTGAATATTATAACACAAAAGTACACATGGAATAAAAAAATGGCAAATTTTACTTGAGTTAAGATATTCATAATAATAATAAAAAATTATGCTATTCAATAGTAATAGTAATAATAATATACAAATGGTTAGTTATAAACAGATGTATGGGGAATAATGTATCTTCTTTACAATTTAATTATTGTCTATTTGCATATATGGAAGAGAATATCTTTAGATTTCCCATCACATAATAATGATAATAAGTTCGATGCTTGCAAATTCGTTTATTTCTTTATGAGTTCTTCTTTCACCGAACATCCTTTTTACCGAATGAAAATCCTGATTTACCTAAAAGAAAATAATAATAATAATAATAATAATAATAATAACTTAATGTTAGAAACAAACAAATAGTTTACTGAAATCAAAATGCAGTATCATGTTAATTAGCGTGATGTAGAGTAGAATAGGAGTATTTCACTGAATAAATAATTGATAATAAATGAAAGACATTTCTCCAACCAAATTGCGATCACTAATCGATTAAAGTTACACAACCAATCAAAGCCTAGAAGCACTGGATAATCATTTTATCTTAATATGAGACTCTTCAGCAGTCTGAATTTACGACTCTGAAACCAGGAACTAAACTCAAAACCTTCAGATACTGGGACTGTTGGGCTGAAATAGAAATTACTCGACTTCCATTGTCCTTGGTGTGTAACTTCCTCAAATATGATACGGTCTATTTGTCAGGGCTGCTCACTAGAACTCTGTAAATTTCCTCACAAAGCTAGTCATTAATGAGTGCAATCTCCAAAATCCCATAGTGATGATTATTAACAGCTCACTACTATTCTGGGAGCTGATCGACTTTATAAATTCAAGATTTTATTATGAGTGAAAGCATTAAAATACAGTCAGTTGTAAACAACGTAAAGTTTGATACAAGTGTGTTGATCCAAGTAGTAATATTACATCTGCACAACCAAATGAAACTAATAAAAGTAATAGTAAAAGAAATCGAAGCAATCATAAAAAGAAGGACTAAACATTGGTATATGTTTTCAAAAGGTGTAATGGAAAGGTATACATGAAAGGATTATGAGATTCAAGTTCCAGAGGAAGTCCTAACCATTTCAGTCGGTGGAAATACACAACTTTAACATTACTTACCTTAGGTTGAAATTGAACACAAATTACTGTGCCGTTAATATTTGACAATGGTGATGAAATAATCAAAATTAATTATCACTAGGCATACTACCGAAGGACTCTTTAGATGAACCCATGTTTAATTCGTAATAAAACACTTTTCCATATTCATGAGTATGTAATTGTGATTTATTCAATTACAGCGAAGATCACTAAATTGTTTATTTGGATGATGTTTTGTTTATGTTATTATCCTTTAAATTAAAAACCACCGAAACTAATTTAAACAAAAAATTCTAACTTGTAGAACATAGTTTTCTGATGAAAACTTAATTATGACAAATTCGAAGATAAGCTTTTTTCTTCACTTTTATGCATTCAATTCGATAATATATATATTGATACTGTTTAAAGACAAAACACTGAACTATTGTTTAGTAGACAACTCTGTGTTGAGTATCCACAAATATCCCTCAATGACGTGTCTAGAAGCCTAGAAAAGATTAGAAATGTTTTATTCAATCAGCATTGAATGGAAGCATCTCAGTAACATAGAGAAAAATGAGAGATTATGCTCTGTTTAAATTGAATAACTATTTATGATATATTTAGTATATTAATAGATGCTTCAAGATTATAAAACTCATACCAAAACCTATAAATAAAATCAATTTTCTGTACAGAGCATAACTTTAAAGCAAAGCTTTCACTCATATTTCGTAACTTTTCTCTATTATTCGAGTTCAAATGTAAAAGTGGTATGGGTATATAAGAAAAGGTTTCGGTAGTCAGTAACAAGAGTTCAAGTAGAAAACTTATCATTCAGAAATTTATGAAACATAATAACTCCATCCTAATAACATGCAACATTTTTTAGGTTGAAATAAAACTAATTATTATCCTGAATGAAGGCCTGTACACGTCCAGATATCATGTCAAGTAGACAAAATTTCTGAAAATGATCTCAAATCATCTCATTTTTGACAAATTTACAGGAAATTTTATCTAAATGATCACACGGACTGTAGTTTGCCCGAAAGGAACGACAAGGAAATAAATGCAGAGATGAAATTAATTTACACTCTTCCATGTGGTTATCAATAATTATTATTAACACCATCCAAGTAGAATTTACATTTATCGTCACAAATATACCATGGATCCAAGATACAATGATATCAAATAAAATCATCATACACAGAATTATATAAGTTTTAAGAGGAACCTTGAAAAAATAACAATAAAAGGCTTCAAATGCAAAAAAAGCTTGACAAAAATGACTACTAAAAACTAAAAAAAACGCAAAATTTATCGATTTACGAACATTTCTACATTGTAAATTGATTCAGAACGAGATAATTAGAATGGTTAGGATTGAATGGACTTAAATGTCATCTTATTCTTCTCATCACGGAAGTACAGGTTTAAAAACAGCCCTGGAAATACTACAACTCATCTTAACCTATCGATCCTCATTTTTAAAGATGAGATCTTAGAAGTGCTGAGCTAGCACATCAACAACCACTCAGAAAATTGCCGTAAGTCGCTGGCTTCAAACAGTTGTCTTTTAACTATATGGTTACGAACCCAGGTTGTCAAGGCTATCCTTTACCCAATTTTTCCTCAGATACCTCAAGAAGTATTCTTCAACGTTTTGGGCAACCGGGAAATGACGACCTCTCTTATGTTTTTAACATCACTCAATATTATTTCTTTCATAATCACCATTTTTTCGAAAAGAAAAAAACGGAATGCACTTCAACATGCGAAACAAAAAACACAACAGTACATGACACAGCAAGAATAAATGCAAAACCTTTAGCCTTATGTAATAAAGCACAAAAAGGAAAATAGAGATTATTCCATAGTACATATATACACATAAGTGCAATCTCCTTAGGTATGAAAATAATCATTGGAAAAAAAAGGAAATACACTCTCAGTGTCTATATAAACACAAGAGGACACACATCGGGAGCGGAACAGTCGTCATCAATAAGATCTGATGATCATTGCACTATATCAGAAATTAGTTGACGTTGAAATTGTACCAACGAACACTAATGTAGTAGTTCTAACGGTTAAGGGTTTGTCATAACACCTATAGGTGTTAAGTTCTACTCCTCAACCATTAAGTTTACAGGACTGAATGATTGTAAGCTTAGTATCGTAAATGTCTTGCCGTCAGAAATATCTATAACGATTTATTTTTAGCTTCATAATTGCAATTTATACGTTTTCTCGTCGAAAATATGTGATGTAAGTAAACACTGTAATCTCCAATCTCAATCACTATTTATTCTCAGTTGTCAAGTAGTTTGGATTTTATTGTTGTTTTGTTCTATTTTAGACAGATTCATTATGTAATGAAATTTACTATCTCTACAGCTATCCAAAAGTTTCTTGAGAAAAAAACCCTGTTTTCCTCCTATTTATTGAGCTCAGTTACACAACAACTGAAGTGTTACTAGATTGCATTTTCATCAAGCCCTTGACTGCCATACTAGGCTTGTAACAATAATACAACAAACGCCCAATTACTATGTTATCAAGTGTGGGGCTCAATAATTATGTACTATTGAAATGAACATCTACGATGTCAGATACACAAATTTGCAACTATGACTTTCTGTTCATTAAATTACTACGAGTACTAAAACGATGATTCATTGATTTAAATATGTTGATTCGCTTGTACACAATCTCTCACTGCAACTCAAAGATGAATCAAGTGGTGATAAAATAACACCACTAGCCTTCAAACACAAATAATCGCAGTTTGTACCATTCCATTAATAATCTGTATGTAGTTGTTCCAGATAAAACATATTTTAAAGTGTGTATAATAGAAGATAACGGTTTCATTTATACATATTGAAACATAAAGACAACCTAATCATAATGGTTATATTGCTTGTTGTGTAAAGCTGAGACTATAATGTTTTTTATTTGAACTGGTATGAGATACAGAAAGCATTTCAACCTTTGGAAAAATGATAGTTAGAATTACAAACATTGATTCGTTGAAAAATTCAGTGAAGCATTTGGGCATCGCTGTTTACCAGAGTTAGAAATTAGATGAATATCAATAAAATAAAATGATCCCAGGGATATTACTCATTGCATAAAGTAGTAGTGAAAATGATAGGATAAATTTCGAGTTACATTTTGCCTCATGATAGTTTCTATGAAAATTCAATAATATTTAGTATCATAATTTGATGTTAGGATTTCAAAAAATTAATATTTTCTCTACGAATTCATTTAGTAGAGAGGGTTTGCTGATAGTGTTGAATTATATAGTTAACGTCACGTACTTACCTAAGTTAGACAACCAGTGAAAACCTCGGCGCAGCGGACGGCTGTGTTCAGTTCCAGTATAAGACTCAACAGTGGTGCGCATTTACAAGCCCACTTAAGATCAAACCCAAGACCTTAGTGTCTTGGAGTGAATAGGTAAATTTAAATCACTAAGTTAAGATAGGATAATTCACATTTCATATTATAATTAATTCATGACACAGCCCCAATTTCTTCAATGATGACTGCTTCATTATGAGTTCTACCGGTCAAAAACTAGCACTATTAAAAAAATACTGACTAATTTCAAGTGATAATTCATGTGACCACTGGAGATCGACTATGCCGGGAATGGGGCGGTTACTAACTAATTCTAAAATGGTTGAGCAATATCGAGAATTAAGTGAAATTAAACAAACAAACCATTGGATAATAACTTAGTATTTTATAGGTTAAGCACTGGCAAACAGACCTGAAGCCCATAGATCCAGTCCGAAATAGGCTTATGGATGGATACTATGAGTCCCATACTAGGGCAAAATATCCCCGTCCAGTGTCCTCTGGTCTTCAGTGGTTGTCTGACTAAGACCGGTTTGTTATGTAAATTATAAAATCTGCAAACCCTTCATACTAAAAAAACAGTGTCCATGAATCTCCCACAAACTGAACACAAGCTTCAAAACCGGCGAGTAGTAAATTACCCGCTGGATATTCCAGTCTAAACTTAATATTAAAACGTTACCTGACTCGTCCTTACGGATAATGAACACTTCAGTTCCGGTAAGAAAGTACACGGATCTCTACAATAACCGTAAACATTTACATAAAATATTAAATCAAACCTTAATCTATAATTAAAGCAGATTTTCGAAATTGCAATGATGTAAAATTAACAAGGAGAACCAATGGCTCCATGAGAAATAAAAAGAAATATAAACTTCACTCGTAAAATACAAAGCAAACATATTTAGAAAACAAACATATGTTAGCAAAATGTAATATCTTTAATAGATAAAAACTTCGAATAATTAATACTTTTATACGTAAGTCGTCTGTTGTCTAAAAAAAGTAAAAAATATTTCCGAAAAGTTAATGCTTAAAGTGTTTGATTCTTTAAAAAGAGAAAAAAAAACTACGATTATGAATCAAAATAAGGTCTTAAGCAACCATAGATTGCTATTAAAGAATTATATTTTATCTGGATTAAGTTCGGTTATCGATTCATTCAACATGCAGAGAAGAATACTACATAACAGCCTATTTAATATCCCTAACTATTCTAAATTTCATTTGGATTGCGTGACATAATATAACAGACTGGATGATAGGCTGGGCGAACGCACGCAAATCATGTGCCTGAGCTGACAACCTGTCTCAAGGTCAAGCATCAGATAGGTGATGAGTAAGGAATGCTAATGCATAAAGCCGACGATGCACTATTTAAAATTTTAAGCTTACATATCTGAGGGGTATATATATATGCCGAGTTATGTACACTATTATTTGATTGCCAATTACAGCTTAGCCTTGTCATCCAATCAACATGTTGAGTTAGTCCATAGCAAGCGTGTATATCAATGTTTGAGCTGGATAACTTAGGGGTGAAACACTTGATTAACATGTTTAATATACAACAACAGTTATTTTTATAAACATGATACCTTTGTTGTTCACTGACTAGTTTGTTCAATGTCATTAGAATTAATAATTAGCTGATAAAATATATTTCACTAGGCAATAACAGTCATTTAGAATACTGTGCACAAATGTGATCCAAGACTAGGTTATAATTCACTTCAATGATACAAAGAAAAGACTTTTGTGGTTCCCTGTTTGATCATCATTGTATTCGAGGCACTGTTTATACCCGGTGACAATACCATGTTGGTAATTCTGAGGTTCAGTGATGTATTGTCTTGGGGCAGTAATGTTAATTTAGTTGCTAGTACCTCATTAAAACGCTGAATTCGGTGCCCTGTTCTTATTTTACGAATGTTATCTCTATAGTTTCCACATCAACTACTTAAAGAATATAGTAACTTGGTGAAGGAAGCAAACAGGGTGCTCAGTTTATATGATGCCGTTGTGGGGAAGATAATGTATATGGTTATTATCTGTCAGTTCATCATGACTCTCTAGTTGGAGTCTTAGAAATCATGCAACTTAGTGGCTTGAGATTTTAACAGATATGGGTTGGCATAGAACCCAGAGGTGATCCTGTTGCAGTTTTCATCACAATGTGAACTGTCTTAACTGAAAGTCTTTTCGGGTATATTGTTAACTGAATTGTGTCTACTATCAAATACTCTTCTTATCCGTCAGTTAACTAATTGTTTAGCCCTTCAATCCTTTTTTCAAAACATTACCATTTTATTAGTTTGGCTTTTTTAGTGGCCTACTGTATTCGAATTCATGTGCTATAGAAAGTAGAAACAATTATCCCTAAAACATCTACGCAAGCAGAGAAAGGCCTAAAATATGTGAAACCAAACAGAGCCAGTAAATTTACAGTTTCTCCTGATTTCACTTGTCATACATATTAATTTTCTCAAAGGTTTTGACGGTTTTTCCGGAACTCTAAAGTTTCATGTAACCGAATGATTTATGTGTAAGAACCAAATTTGAGGTAAAGCTTCAGTCAATGTACCACGTTTTAATTTGTTTAGGATTTATCGACTGGTAAGAATCTATTTATCAGTTTAGTAAGCCGTAATTAAGCGTTCGTTAGAGAAACTCAACACTAAGATGTTTAAATATGCTGAAAATAAGATATACGATCCAAGGAAAAAGAAAATGATAGCCATCAATGAAAATGAGTGAAGTTAAAAGATGAAAAAAGAGATAAATAAAACTAACCGCAATAATTTTTACATTTAAAAAAGTATAAAAGAGTAATTTCACCGTGTATGAATAATCATCCTTATCGATGTTTGATAAAAGTGTCATATCTAGCATTATTCTGTTCATTTAGTATATTATTTCAGCACATAAGAGTGTCATTTCACTAAAGATTTCATTTCAATTATTTAAAGCTATTTACATATGTCTTCTGTGAACAAGCTATTGCAGAGCATTCCAACTTGGCAGATCAAAAAAGTAAATACACTGAAAGTTAGAATTTGAAATAAAATCCTCAATGAACAGAAAAATACTCGATATTACCCACATACTGAATACTTGAGAAGCACATTCATTACAAATCCACAAACACATATTCCATTCCATTTTAACTATTTGAAAATGTCAAATTATTTTTTATGTATATAAAGACTAGAAATAATTACACGTTTTTTAAATGTATGTTTATCATCAATCACACAAGCATAACACGATAGATGTACATTGTTTATATACATCAAACATAAAACAAATAACTCAAAGAAAGAAATGATGTCGTTTTCTTAAAAGAAATAGACACGTAGTATTAATATTGTATCATCTTAATTAGTAATAGCATTTACAAAAGGGTTTATCAATTGTAATTACCGTGTTTTGAGAAAAATTTGGGTCTTTTTTCGTTTAGACAACAAATTAAAAACAAGACATAACAGCCTACTTGTTTGTAAAACATCTCCAACTATGTGTGTATTATCGTGTATAATGAAAGGGATAGATATGATATCACAACTGATATAATTATCGAACTGATTAATTTGAAGACAATTCTCAGCACAAAACTAATAACATGTGGAGAATTATAGATAATTGGGGAAAAATAGTTGAACACTTAAATTTATCTGGGATTAAACAAACAGACAATAATATTATGAAAGAAGTATATCAGTGTCAATGAAACTGGGAGTACTTTCGATACATCAGGAAGAGATATAGCTTGTCATATAAAGTTATTAATTTCTACAGTGTTGATTATTCTTCTAGCTAGAAGCTTTTCGCCTAACTCCGGCACGACTTACACCATACATCTTTTTGGAAATATGCGGAAATTTAATCAATCAACGCTTCACAACAGAGCAGGTGGCATTTTATTTTATGAAAATAATGAATTCAACGCGACTAATCACTTCTACTAGTGTTACCAAACTACGTAACATGAGAACTGACTAAATACTACCATCTTAAATTATCAAATTTAGCGAACTACTCGTCAGTTAGTTTTGTATTTCAAATGGTATCCAAAGAAACTCAGACACCTGTCGAACTTTTCTATCAAAAGGGTTATTGCACGTGTTCATCAAGGGACTTTTGAGAAAACAACGTCGTTCAGTATGGTTGTCCAAACAGCAAAGATGTGGTGAAAATGGTAGTCACCTGTGCATATCATTCAATGCCGTCAGCTGACATAACAACTAAATCCAAAAAAGGATAACGTGGTGTAACTGTTCATTGCTTGCTTCATAAACAGTTAGATTTTTTAATGCCGGATATTGTCTAACGCTTAGAGTAGTGAATTATACTAGGTTTTCGTTAGGTATATGTGTATTCCATATTTTGGCCAATGGTTACTTCATTTTCACCAGAAAATATTGGTTATTGGATTTTAGTCAGGTGAAACACCAACATCAAATTTAATGGATGCTAAGAAAATCTTGATTTTGAACAATCAAGTAATGCCAATTGCATTGCTGTAAAAGAAAAATTAACTAAGCTGGAAAACTTCGGAACTCCTTTTCATTAACATTTTAAATGGTTTCAGTTTATGTTTAACTGTTGTTCTGAAAATGAATAGTATTTTAAATGTTGTATCTATGGGTTAAAAAGAGTTAAATATCAGGTTAATAAAGAGCTATGATATGTTTGTTATATTTTTACGTAACCGACTCACTTTGGGACTGAGTGATACGGGAAACAGTCCATGTGAATAAATTCATGAGTGATTGGCGGTCATACACAGTTGTTTCAAATATATTTGCCACTGAATTGAAAAAAAAAGAGTGGAAAGCATCACTTTTGAAGTTCCAACAATCAAAAATACAATGTTTGGTGTAAATTGATTAGCAGAATAAAGAAAACTTGTCCCCCTGAACAAATTAGTTATCAACAAACTCACTATACTAATAATGTAGCTATATGAAATTTAAAAAATGATTACAAAAAAATTAAAGAAGTTTGAATGATCTTAATTATCACAACACGAAACTTACTTGTTATTTAGGTTTTAAGAGTAGTTAGGTTAAATGACTTTCAAAACGATGACAATATCAAAACTGACAGATATTTAGACCGAAAAAACCCACATAACAGCTAATAAGCCTAAAACATTCTTTTTCTATGATTGACTAAAACATAGTATGTATACAGATGCTTTGAATTAAGTAAAATTACTTTAAAAAATCAATCTATTAGTAAAAGAAGTGTGAAATTTATATTCTTAGGACTTTAGAAATATTTTACTATCTTAGCTTATGACTGACTTCTATCCAATGAGAATAAAGCTGTAAGTAGATGCCAAGAATGCGAAGACAATTCGACTTCATGTTACTTTTTGTTGAAAGCATTCAATCAATTATTATCGGATAGTAGTAGAGACTCAGAGTCCTATATGTGTAAAATAGTTGAACCAATGAATTTATAATAATATGTAGACAAATAACTATCAATCATCCAGTTGGACAGATAATTAGGCACTACCCAAACAAGTCATTTGTAGCCTCTTGCTGTTATACAAGGTGATATATGTTTGAATCTATAGAAAAGACCTTATTTCTTTCAAAACCAATCTATTCTTATCTTTGTTACCAGTTAAGAGCAAGAAAGTGATGCCCAAGGTTATTTGACAACTTTCTAACCGGTCAATTCTGTATCTACCTCTATAAACTTAACATTTACAAAAAATAAAGGTGCTTAATAAAAAACAGTAAACTATCGAGATAAAAAAATTATTAATGTTTCAAGAATTTCTTTTACTATAATGGTTTTTAATCTATCGAATGAATGAACAGAGAATCATATTTTACAGTCTTAAGAAATGTTATTATTTATTTACTTGATGAAAAAGAGTATACAAATCAATCAATAAATTTCGACTAATTTCCAGGAAAATTATAGATCGATAGAAGATGAAGTAGATTGATGTGATGAACAATATAATAATTACATTTTCTGATTATGTAAATTTTCTTTAGTGACAGTGAGAAGATAGATAGACATACTAATATAAAGCTAATCACTGAAGAGCAGGGATATTTTAGCGTTTGTTATTTGCCCAGAGAATCAAAACTAAAAAGAGCGTTTTCGAATTTTTGTAAAACACACACGCTAGAAAAGAAGCTTGTTTACAGTTTCCGTCCAGATAACTCAGGTGAACAGAACAATTTATCTAATAGTGTATACCTTATACAAAAAGGTAACTGTATTTTTTCATCCTAGTTTACTCAATGAACTGATAAAACAACTTAATTACTTACGCCTGTTACTCCCAATGGAACATAGGCCGCCGACCAGCATTATCCAACCCACTCTGTCCCCCGCCTTCTTTTCTAGTTCCATACAATTCTTGTTCATTTTTCTCATGTCTCCATTTCCCGGCGTAGTGTGTTCTTTGGTTTTCCTCTTCTCCTTTGGCCTTGAGAATTCCATGTGAGGGCTTGTCTTGTGACGCAGTTGGGTGCTTTCCTCAATGTGTGTCCTATTCACTTCCAGCGCTTCTTCCTGATTTCTTCCTCCGTTGGGATCTGGTTTGTTCTCTCGCACAGTACGTTGTTGCTAATAGAGTCCGGCCGACGGATCCGAAGTATTTTGCGCAGACAACTGTTAATAAACACCTGTATTTTCTGGATGATGGCTTTCGTAGTTCTCCAGGTTTCTGCCCCATACAGTAGAACTGTCTTGGCATTTGTATTGAAAATCCTGACCTTGGTGTTGGTTGAAAGTTGCTTTGAGTTCCAGATATTCTCCAGTTGTAAATATGCTGCTCTTGCTTTGCCGATCCGCGCCTTCACATCTGCATCAGATCCACCCTGTTCATCAATGATGCTACCCAGATATGTAAAGGTTTTTACATCTTCCAAATCTTCGCCGTCAATTGTGATTGGATTGTTGCAACTTACATTTAAACTGGTTTCGTTAAACATCAAATCAGTATACTGAATAGGGATTATTTTCCTAGTCGATCATTTTGAGGTATGTAAATTAAAACGGTGTATCGCCTCTGAATAACCGCTCACGCACCAAATAAATAATTCGTTATTTGTTCTTATAAATGTTAAACAAGTGCTTCGCAAAAATTATTTTATAAACAAAAGTGTGAAAAACAAAATTCCACTTTGCATTTATACTACCCCTACACGCTGTACCTCTTGTTATCCAAGAAGCCAAGGTAGAAGCTAGTACACAAAAACACAAACTAAGTGGATTAATATACAAAACTAAGTAACCAGACAATTAATAGTGAGCAATGCCTGACTTTGAAATATAGTATTAGGTAAAGATGGCAAACAGAATGATGAAGTAGTAAATCTTAATCAACTGAAATGGTTAAGACATGTTACGCATGCCCTATAATCGCCTAGCTCCTCGATGGGTGATGTTTGCCGGTATAGGAGTAGGGTGGAAGGAAGTCAGTGGCAGCCAAAAAAATATGGCATCATCCCATCAAGTCATAGACGATTAAACTGAGCCATCTTAGGTGTAGTCTACCTGGTTAGGTTCTGTGTAATTATTAAAACAGACGTTCAAAGACTTTGAACAGCATGGCTCAAAATCGTTTGCAGTGGCGCAGGTGCATACACTCTTTGTGTTCTACAAAATTCTAATCTTCTGAATTCTTCATGTCCTTTATTTCTCTTTCGAAATTCATTTCACTGGACTATACTCCTTGAATAAAATCTTCAAATCCTAATCTTTCCGATTACCGCTTATACTTTTACTACCTCTACCACTACGGGATTTGAATCGACAGTTGTATCTCTGTGATAATGTGGTATGGCAACTTCAACTTATGTACGTACGTACGACGTTCTACGTTGTCGCGGGCCGTTTGCAGTTGCTATTCATCTATGTGTCTGCCTCCAATTACCAACACAATGTGTTCTTTGGTCTTCCTCTTTTTCTTTTTCATTCAGGACTCCAAGTGAGGACTTGCCTCGTGATATAGTTCGATGTTTCCCGTAATATATGTCCTATCCACTTCTATCGTCTTTCCCTAATTTCCTCTTCAGTTAGAAGCTGGTTTGTCCTTTCCCACAGGCTCCGACCCAAAAAATTAAATAAGGTTATAAGGAATTTGGGAAACAAATGGAAAGGAAAGTCCAGGACAGAATTAGGTGGAGAATGATGGTGGGTGGCCTATGCTCCTCCAAGAGGGGTAACAGGGCCTAATTTATTTACGTCTTCTTCACTAATTATATTTTCTTCTCAAATCTCATTTTCGATGCCTTATCTTTTCCACTACCATTGAAACTGTTACTATCTCTACTACTCTGGTATTTGGTCTGACAATTTCATCTTTCTGCACTAATGGGGTATGGCACCTTGAACCGATGTGTGTACGTACCATGATTAACGTTGTGACTGACTGATTAGGCATCCACTCAACTCTCGAACAAGACATCGATTTTTTTGCTGCTGAGTTGGTCTATGGAAGGACGCTATATTTGCCTGGTGATTTTTTTTAACCGTGCAACAAATATTCCAACAGACATAAGCAGAAATTAAGAAAACAGATTGAATCCATTAGATCTGTCAACCCGCAAACCCAGAAAGCAAGACCATTTGTGCTTATCGAATTAGAAACATGCTCTATACATTCGTCAGAAATGAAAAAGTATGACAGCCCTCTTAAAATCATCAAGAAAGACGGTAAAACAGTCAAAGCTGAAAGAGTATGTAAGACACTGTTAGCACCGGTCGAGTTAAATCAACATTTCTAGAAAGTACTGAGCAACAAGCGATAAAATCACTAGAATCTACAGCAGAACAAGCAATAAATAAGCTAACTGCAACAAACGCTACCCTACACCAAAGTTCGACAACCACAGAAACTATGATAAAATCAGAAAGAAGAGGGAATTAGTTTGAAAGTGATGTGGCAACCAACATAAATCAAACCCTCGCATTATTATATAACTTTTATGTACATTTTCTTTTGTGTTATGATTGTTTTTTTACTATTCTTAATTGGTCCTACGGAATTTTATTATCTTTACATCTTAACCTTTCAGTTTTTAGGGACGTTAATCATGTACACACTTCCCACATTCTGAAAATCATTAATTCGATAAGAATCACATCTGGACAGTAAGTCGAAGCGGTGAAGATATTCCTGGAAATGGGAAATGTTTGGAATTGACTACCTAATCGGTAGCGAACGAGATGTCCTAGTCATGTCAGTTTTCGAATACCTGCCAAATAAATGTGGCGAATTTGATTACGGTCAGACTTTTGAGACCTGTATATTTGAAAATCTGAAAGAAAACTCAAAGTAAATGAAGGTGGGGAACTGAAAACAGAGCTAAATACATCCAGATCACCGATAACTTGATGAGCTATACCTAATATTAACATGGATAAAAGATCATTAGCACCGATGGAAAGCTTTAAATCGTGTTTATTTGGATTAAGGATTCTATTTATCGAGAAACATCTTAGAAACACCACCCCAGCTATCTACGTCAAGCGTTTTTGAAAACACTAAAAACATAGCCTGTTACTAACAGTCAGTTTGACTGACGGGACATTTGATAAACCACTCTTCCACTAATCATTCAAAGGAGACTATTGTCTTATGCGTCTAACCTTTCATCTTAATATTTGTGGAGCATCTCTTAGTGTTTCAAGTAGACTTCTTTCTGTAAAAAGTGGACACTTAACACCATGTATTACAACACATAGGACACAATTATATTACCTTTTTCCGATTGAGACCATCGAGAAACTTCTGTAGAATCTAAAGTTGCATCTTTAGGTTTATCAACTTTGTGACAGCTAAGTACAATACATAAATCACGTTTTTCGCGATATTTGTCAATCTACGGAAACAAAAGTTACAGGATTTAGTAGGACAGATTTACGTCTTGTTTTAAACTTTGAACAGAGCTGAAAGATTTGGAATCGCTTATATCATATACCAAAATGAATGCATCAGCACAATTCACAAAATGTTTTTCCAATTTAGTCATCCCTCCAAGATCGTAAATTCGAACTTTTTCTTTAAAACCACGATCTGTCTCGACAACGGCATTATAAGTATCTTCATAAGTCGAAATCTGGTAATTAAAATATATTCTTAAATGAATGATTATCATTTATACATAAGGAAATTATAAAGAAATTTTCAATATTTAGAGATAAGACTCATAAAACATTGATTTAATGTTTCGAAAAATGTAGTGATTTTGAAATAAGCCGTTGCTAGTCCAAACGACTAAAACTCAAAACATATTTGTTAGCTGCTTCATTTGAGCTTTGAACACCTTACGCAGTTTGTACCAACGATCTTCGCAATTCGTAGGGAACAAGATGGTATAGTCAGTAGGATAATATGGATTCATCGTACAAGTTCACAGTATGGGACTATTACACAAAATCTGGTCACCCTAAGCGAATTTAAAATGAAAAAAACTAATGTCATAGGAAGTACATTTAGCCACCTTCGACAGGCCATACAGACAAAAATTCCACAAGCAATATCTCATTTTCTTCGTTTTAAAGTCTTGTACACCTCACCTACGGTTCTCTTATCGATAAGGAAGGTCTAAGTAGATAGTACAGTCGCTCGATTTAAAAGGACAGTGGTATTGTTTCTCGTTGAGTTAATTAACTAGATCTGCACATAAATGTGGACAACCATATTGCTTATTTGCCGGGGAGGAAGGGATGCAATGTGATGAGTGTAATAAGTGGTTCCATAAGATGTGCAGCCGATTAAGCCCCACTGCATATAAAAGGTGCTCTAAGTCCAACTCCCATTGGCTTTGTAGTTTTTGTTGCTCGAGCAAAACACTACTCATCCAGGAAGCAGTTAGCCTCCTGATGTAGGCTAATAAGAAGGTTGATGAGGGCCGTACTGGTAACATTGGTACTGATGGCGAAGATTGCGTTAGTGTTGTAAGTGCTGTCACGGCGCAAGCTAGACATCTACCTGTGCAACCCGCAGTTAAACGTTCTCCCCGAAACGATCAGTGAGTGACACCTTATTAAACGTCGGTGGCCATATTGCTACAGCTGCGACTAGTGATCCAGATAAGACAATTACTGTCCCGAGTTGTTCTAATGTAGATGTTTCGACTGATGGAAAATGGATCACGCGAAAACGCAGAAGAGTAAGAAAGACAGCTAAAACTAATGACTGTTTATCTGATAAGTCCTTGGTGGACTCTCAGACCAATCCACCAAAGCTCCAAAGTAAAGCTTCGTCTAACACTGTTGTGAGTCACTCACAGGACTCGGTTACAATAAAACCTAATCATAAGATACCAGTAGTTAATATGCAGGATCTATCGTCACGGTCGAAAGCTGTTAACACAATTTCAAAGGAAGCTAAACCCCTTCTTAGTTTAATTATTTGGAATCTAGAGGAGTCGAAAGATAACGACCCTGCTAGAAGACATGCGCATGACCTGCGGTTAGTGGAGTCTGTGGTAAGAAATGTAATACTTGAAGAGGTTTCAGGGGTACATATTACAAAAGTAATACGACTTGGTAAATGGGTTGGAGGCGAGACCCAACCAAGAAAAATCCTGAAGCTGGTTCTCGGGAGTTTCGAAGAAAGAGACATATTATTGAAAAACGCACCAAAAACTCGTGACTCAAATATCCGTATTCAACCAGATTGGCCGCTTGAGGATCGAATCAAGTGGAAGAATGCTCTTACGGATTGAGGACTCGTAAATTAAATGGCGAAAATAACCTTACCATTAAGGGTTTTCGGGTGGTCAGGTCTTGGAAGCCAATGCTTCCGAGGCCTGTAAGGGTAGGACGATTGATTGCCAAAACACCTTAAGTGTGTGCTACACGAACGCTCGTAGTCTTAGAAACAAAACGTCCGAGCTAAGTCTGATGGTGGAAGAATTATGTCCCGATATAATCGTTGTTACAGAAACTTGGTTCACAGTAGATATAGACTGTTCTCCTTTCATTGCAGGCTATATCTGTATTAGAAGTGATAGAGTTTCAAGTCGCAAGGAGGGAGATATAATATTATACGTTAGGGATCACTTTCGTATATAATCAACCATATCGGAGGCTCATATCAGTGGCACATGTGAGGTTGCATGTTGAAAGATTAAATCTAGAAATGGGTTAGTGGCTATAGGGGGAATATACCGTAGTCCGTTTTGTCTTGCTGACGACTTTATCCTAAGTCACATATATTCTTGGAGTATGGCAGAATGTTGTCTCATCATTAGGGACTTCAACGCACCGCATATCAACTGGATAGAGCTTACAACTCCAGGTAGTGGTTTCGATAGCGACCTTTTATCTACCGTTATTCAGTGTGCACTTGTACAATGTATCACAAAACCGACACATTGATCTCAATCATGATCCGTCACTGCTGGACCTCGCCCTCACCCACCACTGTGAGGATGTCTTTGATATTCAGCACCTTCCCCCCACTAGTGAACAGTGATCACTTTGTAAGCCACCTTAAGTTTAGGACACATGGTATACAATTCGTATCTGCTCCACCCCGTCCCAATATCTGACGAGCCAATAATCCGGCAATCAGAAACTGTGCTATCTCGACTGATTGGTCGGTCGACGCGGATGGATTGATCGAAGATTAATGGAATAAGTTTAAGGCTACATTCGAGTCCATAACGTCGCCGTTTATCCCATGGTCAGCACGTAAGCTATCACATTGCCCTCCATGGATTAATAAGGAAACCCGGAAGCTGTTAAAGCGTAGGAAACATTTCTGGGACTTATTTTTGTTGACAGGTCATGCACCATTTAAGCGTGAGCACCAAAAACTCCGTAATATCTGTAAGAAAACCATAGCCGAATCCCGTACTACTTACGAACGACGTAGTGATGGTATTTTCCTGTAACTTTTACACGAAAATTCCGATTTACTGGCTGAATCAGATCGAGCAAAAGCTGAGACTTTTTCAAACTATTTTAGCGAAATCTACTCTACGTTTATTGTAGCAAATACTTGTCCCACTCACACCGAGATACTAACCATTGAATCTGTACAGGTGACTGAGGAAACTGTCCTACCGTTGATAACTAACCTCAAACCTGGTAAGGTACCGGGCCCTGACGGGTTACATCCACGGTTGTTGTCATCTCTTGCAGACATTATTTCAAAACCGCTCGCGACACTCTTTAACATGTCCCTTTCACTCGCTCAACCCCCTAGAGATTGGAAGTACGCTATAGTCGGTCCTATATTTAAGGACGGTCAGAGACAGATAGTATCTAACTACCGGCCTGTCAGTCTAACTAGCATAGTCGTTAAGTTACTTGAAAAGATAATTCGGGTTAGGTTGCTAAGCCACATAGATTTACACAATCTGTTAGCTCCAAAGCAACACGGACTTCGTAACAAGCGTTCATGCTTGACTAACTTGCTTATTGCGAGGGAGGATTGGACAGCAGCCCTAGATAACGGTCTGCCTGTCGATGTGATATTCATAGATTTTAGCAAAGCATTTGACAAGGCTTCACACGTAGGTCTTGTGCAGAAGCTCACGAGCTTCGGAATAATAGGTACTGTACATGAGTGGATGGGACAATTCTTACGTGACCGCAGACAAAGAGTGAGGGTCAATGGAGAGCTATTCGAATGGAAGCCGGTCAAAAGTGGTGTACCCCAATACACCATCTTAGGCCCTCTGCTCTTCCTTCTCTACGTTAATGAGTTACCGCTGTTGCTTAGGTCGTCGACATTATTGTTTGCGGATGATGTAAAAATCTGGAGAACAATAAAAAGTGAGGCTGATCATCTGGACCTTCAAGCTGAAATCAATGCTAGGAAGAGTGTGCTAATGCATATCCGTCACGGTAATAGTTACCGTTACACTATTGAGGGTAAACCTCTTCCATGCGTTCAAGAGCATAAAGACTTAGGAGTAGTATTGTCATGATTTAAAAACTACTACGCATTGCAAAGCAGCCGCTGTCAAAGTTTTTCGTGCGTTATGGTCACTTCGCCGAGCGTTCAAATCTTTTGACGAGGAAACGTTCCGAATTTTATATCCCATTTACATAATACCACATTTAGAGTACTGTATCCAAGCAGCTAGCCCATGTCTGGTAAAGGATACTAACTCACTAGAGCGTGTCCAGCGTGTGGGAACAAAATTAATGAAGGGTCTTTATAAACTACCTTACGATGAGTGTTTAAAACGCCTAAACTTTTCCCCTTCGTCGTATCTTTGTGCTCCCTCCAGAACTAATAATCTCTGAGGTTATAGCAAGAAAGTTCACAAACCGCCATTTAGTAAACTTAAAGTACGGTCCCGTTTTTCTCATCGAGTAGTCAATGATTGGAACGCCTTACCCGAACAAGTGGTATCAGCCCCATCAGTGAATACTTTCAAAGAGAAGCTGGACCTTCACTGGAAAGCAGTGTGTCACGATTAATACAGGTTCACCAACCCACTATCCTTATTACTGAAGACAAGACAAGACAGGCTTGCCCAACCTCCCAATTTTGGGGGAAATTTGATCCATTTTGGGAAGCCACTGTTAAAAATTTTGAGGATTAACATGCGCTGCACTTTATTTCCAGATTAATTAAATAAAAAAGGCAGTTGGAGCTCTTAATAGTCACTGCACACTTATCTTGAGATTGTCGATAATGAGCTCTGTTGCATTAGAAAATAGAACCAAGGTTAAAATTCTGAGAATGCTAGCATAACGATATAACTTACAAAGTCTTCCGGTTGCCTTTCAAAATAGTTCCCATATATGCAGTGTTCAATCAGAGAAGTTTTCCCAGAACCAGTCGGTCCACAAACAACCAACTTCGTAATCTTACCCATGAAAAATGTGGGTTAGACAGACCGGTTTCCTGAAGGTCGTCCCACCAATATACAATATCTTCATCATGAGATGGTAAAATCTTGTCTTTGCATTGAAGAATAGCTGGGAATTTCTGGTAGCATCCGACTATGGACGAATAAACATCTATTTGATGACGAAAAGAAGAACTGGGGAAAAAACACAAAAAGAACTGTAGTACGTTTAGAATAACTGTGAATATCATTCATACCCTCGATAGAATCCGCAGAAAGTATGCACTGTGTAATAAATAATTTCCTATAGACTTAGTTCTGAACTATTCAATAGACTATCTAGAACAAAGTCTTCACTCAGCCAAAGTCAGAATAAGTAAGTTATTTGACTTGATAAACCTTATCTATTTTGAAGTCGTAAATTAACACTGTTGATGTGGAAAATAAACAATTAATACAATCTATTAAACAGGAAAAAAAGAGTGGCGTAAATAACATGCCGAATAGTAACTATAGAGTAGGAAAAATGAGTCGATGAATTTAATACCCTTCATGATAAACATGAAATAATGATTGGTGAGATCAAAAGGAGTTGATGTGTTGGTGAGCGTTTCGTGTTGTCATACCTTTCTTAATAAGTAAAGCGTTTGTAGTAAACAACTTCTCATTCCATTTCAGTTACGGTACAATTACTTAACACGTGTACGTTGTATTTTCCCTTTATCGCTACGCTGACACGTTCTTTTTTTACTTGTGCATACCAATGGCAGAGGCAAGAAGTTATAGTATATACACTATGTTTAGTACCTTCACTTATCACAAATTTTCACGAACATTTCTTTTGGGATTCTGAATTCACGGTCTCATGTGCATGCTCTAATGCAGTACGTATTGCAGATAGCTCAGTATGAAGTGGCTCATGACCAACAGTAATCATTTCTCTTGAAATATTTCTGTACCGTATGCGCGAGTTTATGGACCTTTGAAATTAATAAAACTACTTCAGTATTAGCATCACCATAGTAATAGACCTGATCCTAAAATTGTAGACATGCCACGATATGACTGCCTAATCTATAAGATCTTACGTGGGAGTCACATAATTGACTATTCTGACTAATCGTATCGTAAGAATCAGGTATATAATGTCTAGAATTCCCTAAGGATGCATTTCGGCGGATTAGAAAGTAATGTATTTAATACAAGATCAAAGAGGTTTTACATAGAGTGACCACGTTTGTATGACCGAGCCATGCCATCGTAGAACTATGTTCTACGTCGTTATCAGTATTATTATTATAATAATGAGCATAATCCTAAAGTTGTAAATTTGTCATGGTGTAACTGCCTGATCAATAAGACCTTATGTGGAAGTGAAATCGCTGTCTACAATGACTTGTATCATCACAATTAACAATTTGATGTCCGAAGTTTTTAAAGAACACATTTAGGCTAAAAATAGAACAAAAAATTTAATTTGAGCAAAGACAAGTTATATAGAATGACGACGCCTGATTGAATTCAATTAATTCCCCACGCCTTATCCATCGTTGGTCTTCTCTCCGCGTTAAATGTTGAATATCGATTATCCCAGCCACTTTGTGTTCATCTTTGAGGATTAAGTGGCTAAAACCAATACCGCTACACCCTTTTGAACCCTTGTTCCAACGTTTGTCATTGTTGACCTTCTCTTAGCTTTACATGTTGGAAGTGAATCTTTTTGATAATTCTATGTTCAGCTTCGAAGATCGTGTGATTAGGGACCAATAACACTACAGACCCTTATTTCCTAACTTATAAGTATCTTGTTGGTTATTTTTCTGCGAAACTGTCATAAGACAGCAATAAGTTTCTTAATACTTTCCTGTTACTTTTTATAGAGTCATACATAATTATCGTAACCTGCTCCGTTAGATTGACGGTCAGATAGCCTAGACTTCTGGAGAGAAACAACATGATGACATATGCTTCGTCTACCTCAATTTAACAGATATGACGGCTAGAATACTTGGTAGATGTAATACGATCTGCTTTGTATAATGAGAAATATGTAATGACCTGCATGAAATACTCATGATCCTCAAACAAAATTATTCTATGAACATGTGTTAGTTCTTATCCAATGTTTACGCGTCGACCTTGCGCGTCTCTTTGTATGAGCTTCCTATCTTCATATATAACTTAATTGAATGCCCACCTACACACTGTACCTCAAACTAGTTACTATCATTATTATTCACACACATTTTATGGGTACATAAGTGCTGTGAAGAAAGCATTTCGGGTTTCGTTACAGTTTTAATTATGTTAGCATTAAACTTGCCGTACTTGAAAAAAAGAGGAATTAATAAGAGAATGGAGTAATAATAATAAATCAGGCTCTGTATAATTGAGAAGAATATTGAGTTGACTTCAAATAAGGAAAGGGCGAAATACACAAATAGTTTAATAAGCGTGTTTATGAACACGACTATGTATGTATGGCCAAGTGAGTAACAAAAATAAAGTAGAACAAATAAATATGAGAAATAACTTGCTAATGCAGTAAGATATGACGTCAGAATAAGTTTTTGTGTATTCATAGTTTGAAGTGATGCTGCGAAACATGGTCATTAAGAGTAGAAGATACTTGTAAGTTACCAGTATTCGATCACAGATATCTTACGGATATTGCTCTCATCCCGATCGAAGCTGCTACCTTGAAGTGGTGGTCGGGCTTGCCTATCGTGATGACCCAACCGAGCTATATTGGCTGGAACATATGTTCCTGCAGGTTCTACCATGCCAGGCAGGTCGATTGGTGAACGGTAAGACTAAAAGCAGCAACTCAAGGTCTGAGGGCGAAATCGTACTGCTGACTGTAGAGAGGTGTGATAACAGTAAGGTTTTTTTCCCTCGGACAACCAGCATGACAGCGATGCTGCCTTCCCACAAGGAGGGGTGGGGTTAGAAAAGGTCGACCCTAAAAATGTCACACCTCACCTTACCTCACGGATCTCCGTCTCCGGCGGTAAGGCCCTTTGAAGAACGGAGCTAACACGTCAAAAAAACCCAAGAAAAGGCCGTGCGCGACCGGCCTCAAGCAGTTTTCCCTTGGGCACTGCGGTCACGCTCCCAGGTCGTCAAGACCAACACCAATCCAATTTCCTTTTCAGGTTCCTCAAAAAATACCCTTCCACGGTGTGGGCAGCCGGGAAGTGATATCAGCCCTCATACCCGTAACAGCACACGAGAACAAGTTGGTCACATTCAAATCCTTCCTACACCTCCTAATACCTCTCTTATCTCCATGACTAACTCTTCTCACGTCTCTTTATCATCTCGCACCGCTAGGGCAAACGATTCGAGTACGTGGAACGCTATTCCTGGTCTCCTGAAACCACGCTCTAAACTACACGTAGAAGCTTTTAACGTACGAACACTTTGCCAAATAGGACAGCAGGCTTCCTTAGCTAGGACTTTAGAATCTCGCGCCATCGATGTGTGCTGCGTCTCCGAAACGCGCATACAGGATCCAAGTAGCGTCATTCATTTGACCTCACCATGCCAAAATAAAGAACCGACTCGATTTACGCTTCGTGTATCTGGAAGCCCAGATTCTGCTTCCCGTGGCCTCGGAGGCGTAGGTATAGCATTGAGTCCTAGGGCAGAACTAGCTCTCTTAGAGTGGATCCCAGTAGACAGTCGTTTGTGTGTTGTCCGACTGAACGGAACAGTAAGGATCCGAAAAGATAGGGACACTCGTCGTTGCCTCTTCGTCGTCTCTGCCTATTCTCCCACTGACTGCAGCACAGATGATGTGAAAGATGAGTTTTACAGAAAGCTCTCCAACCTCCTCCTTAAAGCTAGGCGCTCGGATGTAGTAATAATGGCCGGTGACTTTAATGCTCAAGTAGGTAAATTAAGCGATAAGGAAAGACACCTGGGTGGATCTTATAGCATCGTGACTCAAAGAACAGATAATGGCGACCGTCTGTTGCAGCTATGCTCAGATAACCGCCTCTAACTTTAGGCATAAGAAAAAACATCTGTTAACATGGAGACCCCCTAATTCGTCCCAACGTTGGACCCAAATAGATCACATCGCTATCAGCCACCGATGGAAGGGCTCCATAGAAGACTGTCGCTCATTCTGGAGCACATGCTTAGGTTCAGATCATGGTCTAGTACGAGCGCATATCTGTCTGCGTCTTACTGGACGTAGGAAAGACGCTGCAAGGAAACCTCTTAGGGCCCTACTTAATGATAGTCAAGCTAAGAGTATATTTCAGGAACAACTAGGAAAACAGTTACGCAGGTATATATGTGATGCCCACCCTGAGGCAGCATGGAATGATATCCGAAAAGCTGTGGAAACAGCAGTGATATCTGCTTGTAAGGTAAACCAGAAGGTTAGGGAGCAACACTGGATCTCAGCAGCATCTATCTCACTGAAAGATGCTCGGAAACTCATTCCGCCTGGCCCTGAACATAATGAAGAGCGAAGTCAGCTTAAGCACTGAATGATATAAAGCCTACGCAATGATCGTGAACAGTGGTGGGTAGCGAAAGCAAGAGAGATGGAAAAGGCAGCGGCAATAGGTAATAGCAGACAATTGTTCAGACTTGTTAAGGAAATCGGAATTAGGAAACCGACTGTTAGCGAAACAATCTCAGAGAAAGATGGACATATTATACATTCTCAATCCAGGAGATTGGATGGATGGGCAGAACACTTTAGGGATCAGTTCAACTGGCCTTCAGCCACACTTCGGTTTCCCACGATCTCCAGTCAACCTGAATGGCAAGTTAATGTAGGTCCTCCGTCTCTTTACGAAGTTGAAAAAGCCATAGGAAATCTGAAGCGAGGGAGAGCAACAGGCCCTGACAGGTTTACTCCTGAGATTTTTAAGGATGGTGGTCCAGTATTAGCAATGAGATTAACTGAGGTCTTAGGTAGAATTTGGGAACTGGACGTAATCCCATCTGACTGGTCTCAATCACTGATTGTGCCAGTCTATAAGAAAGGACAAAAGTTCTCTTGTGAC